GACAGGGTCTCCCTGTAGCCCCAGCTGGCCTGGAGCTCTTTAATTTTTAATCAAAGGCTTAGAATTTAAAAAAATGTTTTAACTAATTTTTTGAGAATTTCATACAGTATATTTTGATTATATTCTCTCACTTCTCCTAACTCCTCCCAGATCCACCCCCACTTTCCTCCCTACTCCATCCACCTCCTGAAGATCTGCCTGCCTCTGCTTCCCTGGTACTAGAAGTAAATGCATGTGCCTCCATGCCCAGCTCTTGCATTTTTTAAAAAATTTAATAACGTCTCAATTCCAGTATGTACTCTCCATATACTTTTGGGTGTAGGGCCATTCACTGAAGCATGGCCAGCCTACCAGGGGCCACATCCTTAAACAAAACTGACCTCACTTCCTCCCTCAGAAGCCATCAACTGTCCATAGCTCCTCAGTCGGGGCAGGGTCTTGTGAACCCCTCCCCTGCTTCATTCTGGAATGTTGACTAGATTGATTTGTGCAGATTTGATTTGTGATTTTGTAGGCAAGGATATCTTCTGAGAGCCATGAGTGCAGCGCCCTGTCATATCCAAGACAGTTTCACTTCAATCCTCCTTGAGCTCTGACTCTTACAATCTTTCTCCCCCTCTTCTGTGATAGTCCTTGAGCCTTAGGGAGGGGGGATAATATAGATGTCCCATTTGTGGCTGAGCACTCCACTGACACTTAATCTTTGCACTTTGACCAGTTTTGAGTTTCTGCATTAACCACTGTCCACTGCATAAAGAAACTTCTCTGATGAGGTCTGAGAACTGCACTGATCTATGGGTAGAGAGATAAGAATTTAGAGAGAAGACATTTTTAAAAGTCTTGCTTCTGGTAGAAACTGCTGTCATCTTTGATATCATCTTGCTTCTGGTAGAAACTGCTGTCATCTTTGATATCATCTTGCTTCTGGTAGAAATTGCTATCATCATAGTGCTGTCAACTTTCGCTTACATATTCTGAAGCTATATTATTTTGGTGGCCACAACTTGAGAACTGCTAGATCTTCCTAGAGAAGCCTTCGTCAGTTATCTAAGTTCATTGCGTATTCCTGTTTGTACACGTGCGTATACATGTGTTTGCACATGTGTGAAGTTCAGATGACAAGCTTTATTTTCGCGGTCTCCTTGGCCTTGAGCTTCAGGCTGGCTGGTCAGTAAGACCCAGGGACCTACCTGTCTCTACCTCCCAGCCCTGGGAGTACAAAGTTATGCCACCACTCCCAGCTTTGTGTGCGTGCTGGGGAATGTATTTATGTGTGCACAGGTATGTGTGGGGTGCACTCATACTATGCATGTGCAGGCCAGAGGTTGACATCAGGTGTCTTCCTCTACAACTCTCTCCATCTTTTTTGAGACAGTCTCTCACTGAACTTGAGCTTTCACTTTTGTCTACCTGGCTACTGAGCAAACCCCTGGAATCTTCCTGTACACACTGGGATTACAGGAGTGTGCCCAGCTTTTATGTGGGCTCTAGGCTCCAAACTCAGGCCCTCATGCTTGGGTAGCAAGCACTTTGCCACTGAGTTGTCTCCCCAGCCTCCTGCTGGCCTATTTTTCATGCAGGTTCTGGGACTTGAACTCAGATCCTTGTGCATGCAAGACAAGCACTTTACCTACTGAGCCTCCAGAAGTATTTTTAGTAACTAGTTTTCTTTTGGTTAGGTATGTCTATTTTCAACCTTTAGCTTTTTAGTTTTTCTTCATGTTTTAAGTCTTAGGCACATCTCTTATAAACTATATCTGAATTTTACTTTCTGTCCAGTATGAGTATTAATGCCTTCTTTTTTATATAAAGGATCCTGGTTGATCTGAAAAATGAAGTTTGGTATCAAAAATGTCATGACCCTGTATGTAAAGCAGAAAACTTCAAATCTGACTGTGAGTTATTAATTTTTGCACTTTCTACAAAGTAAAAATTAGATATCCATCTAAAAAATACTGATTGTTGCCTTCTTTTTGATTCAGGTTTTCCATTACCTGCTGAACTAAGTCTCCTGTTTCTTCTCAAAGAGGTAAGTGCAGCTTTCTGCCTTATGGGTTTTGGTAAGGAACATCAATGTGTTATGAGCAGTGTCCTCCCATGTCCAAGTAGCTTTTAAACACAAGGTGTGGCACTATGTCCACTTAGGAATATGTGGTGATGGCCTTCCCAGCCCAGCGCAGACACTGTGTGTCACCTTTGTTTTCACTGCTGTGTAAGTATAATCAGCTTAATCCCAGGCATGTATTTCTTAGATTTTGCTTTAAAGAGTAAACAAACAAACAAACAAAAACCCATCTTGGGGTTTTTTGAACAGTATATATAGGATCGATTTCTATCAGAACAGTGTCAAAGGGACTATGGGATTTTAGGTTTGGATATTATGGCTTGCCAATCCATTTTATTTCCTTTAGACTTTATTTATGTATTTATTTCTTTTTGGTCTTTTTGAGACAGGGTCTCCCTGTAGCCCCAGCTGGCCTTGAACTCACAGAGATCCACCTGTCTCTGCCTCCCTAGTGCTGGGATTAAAGGTGTGCACCATCATACCTGGCTTTCTTTAAAGCCATTTATTTATCTAAATAATTCACAATTATTGTAGAAAAAAGAAAATACATAAAAAGCAAAAAGGTTTAAAAAAAACCCCCTGCATAATCATCAAACTGATGTGAAAGTTTTAACGTACACCTTTCACTATTATCTGTGCATGCTCATTCTTTTTGAAGTCATAATGCATATTGCTATTTGGTAGGTATTTTTCTTAAAATATCAGAAATATTTTCATCAGTACCTATTACCAAAGTGCTCTCCATAAAATCCTAGGAATTGAGCTTGTACAAGTGTTCGGTGATACACTTTGCCAACTCTGCTGATCACTGTCTTGTGGCCACCAGCCTGGCAGGCACAAGGCAATTCACTGTTCTCCTTCAAATTTCTTTGCTGATGAAGCAGAATTCTCTTAAGATCATTATTTGTGTTTCTACCATAATTTCCTGTTACCCATCTCCCCTCAAAACCAAACAAAGTTGGGCGTGATGATGCAGGTCTTTAATTCCAGCACTTGGGAAGCAGAGGCAGGTAGATCTCTGTGAGATCAAGGCCAGCCTGGTCTACATAGCAAGTTCCAGGCCAGCTGGGACTACAGGGAAATCCTATCTCTAAGACAAAAGTCTCCTGAAAAAAAATACATCCAAGTTTAAAGTGGTACAAATCCCATGCTTGAGATGTTGGAGTTTAAAAGAACGGAAAGCCAGAGCTTCTGGAAACTACTAGGTTAAAGTGTTTAGAAGAACAAATTTTTAAAAATTTTATTTCTTATGTGTATGGATGGATTGCCTGCATGTGTGTTAAATGCACCTGTGTTGTGCAGTGACTATGGCGGTCAGAAGAGGGGCATCTGGCTTTCAGAAAGAAATTAAATATGAATAACTCTGTCCTTCACCTAAATTTGCAATGTATTAACGTGTTGTTTTAATGAATCTCTTGAGAGGTTATAAATTATAAAAATCCTTCATCTTTATTACACTGTGTAATAAAGGACAGAGGACAACCTGCATATATCAGTTCTCTCCTTCCTCCATGTGAGTCCAAGGGCTCAAACTCAGGTTTTCAGGCTTGGCAGTTAGAGGCTTTACGTGCTAAGCCACCTTGCCATCCCCAAACCCTTCATCTTTTATTAATTATGAAGCCAAAGAACAAAGACATTTTTATATTGTATAGCAAAAAATTTAAATTCAGGAACTTTAACATGAATAGACTACTGTTCTCTAATAAATAATGTAGTCGTATTTTGACAACTGCCCTCCAGTCTTTGTATTCTATTTTGTTTATGCATATTAATGTGGGTACATATGCCCAGCTTTGTGGGGCAGGCAGAGCACAATCTTGGATGCTGTTGCTGTCTACCTTGTTTTTTGAGACAGGGTCTCTGGAACCTGGGGCTTACTGACTAGTCAGTGAGCTCCAGGCATCTGCCTGTCTCTACATTAAAAAAAACAAAACCAAAAAACAAAACAAAACAAAACAGGGTCTCCCTGTAGCTCCAGCTGGCTTGGAACTTGCTGTGTATACCAGGCTGGCCTTGAACTCAGAGATCTGCCTGCCTCTGCCTCCCGAGTGCCACCACATGCCACTATGGCCAGCCTGTCTCTACATTCTTAGCACTGGAATTTTTTTTTTAAAGCCTGGCTTTTTTACATAGGTTCTCAGAATTGAATTTATGATAGAGTGGCAAGCACTTTGCAGACTGAGCTATCTCCTCTACCCCATATTTGTAACTTTTTAAACACAAATTAGGGAAATAAGTTTGTTGTCAAGATACAAATTTCCCAACTTGTCTCTAGCTGGTCTATCTTTGGTGTTAAAAATGAAATCTAGGGGGGCTGGAGAGATGGCTCAGCAGTTAAGAACACTGGATGGGTGCCCCTGCCTTCATGCAAGCAATATATTCATACACGTAAAATAGTATTTTTAGAAAATGAAATCTGACTCAGGAGGCAGAGGTAGGCAGATCTCTGTGAGACTGAGACCAACCTGGTCTACCTAGTGAGTTCTAGGCCAGCTGAGACTGCAGGGAGACCCTGTCTCAAAGACAAAAAACGTTGTCTTTGAGCTAACATACTTTCCTGTGGTAACTGTTACTGACAACTTGCATCTAACATGTTCATTTGACTGATGCCTTAATTCAACATATTTGGAAGGAAATGAAGTTACATATCATGACTAATAACTTTCATTTCCCATCCTGCTCCTCTTCCTGCCTCCCCCACTGAAATAAAGGAAGAGTTTACTTCTGATGAAACAGATGAAATCAGCCACAGAGAGACCAAGAATTCTCAAAAGCCATCATCCAGTAAACTGCCACCTGGTGGACTTTCTGATGCTGACTGGGATAACGACAAAGATGATGCTTGTTTGTTAGAAGCTACAGAAGATGTGGAATTAGCTGAAGCTGCAGAGAACAGTCTTCTCGGTTACAGTAGTGCAGTTGATGATATTCCCGATGAACTAATTGTAGAAGCATTACAAGAGTAGCTATGAACAAAGCTTACACAACTAGCTACAATTTGCCTAACGTGAGATCTGATAATATAAACATTAAATTAGGGCTCAGGGTAGAGCCCAGTGGTGGAACATTTGCTTTGTATGTGCAAGGCTCTGAATTTAATCTCTAACACCATTTAAAAAAAAAAATCAAATTATATTAACTTATTATTAAACATGTTTATATCGTTTCCAATCATGTGGTTTTCCAGTGTTCCCCCCCCCGCCCCAGGTGTTTTTTGTTTTTAACCTAAACCAGTCTTATTGAAAATTAGCTTTGGTATACTTAATTCAGTATCCCTCTAATTAATCAAAATTGGTCTGTGTTCACATTGACTTGTCTTTGAAAGTTTATAAGTTAAAACTCTAATGTCTGGTGGTGATTAATGTGTCAGTAGGCTAAAATTTATTAGGACAGTAATCAGAAAAAAATGACTATAGGTTCTGAAACTATCAAGCTGGTGTGACTTTGTTTGAATGGCAAAGTAATATTAAATTCTAGTGACTAGGCAAACAGAAGTTTTATTCACAGAAGTGCAGTTTCAGTAGGTAACAGTAGCATGGGACTCAGCAGACTGGGCTTCTCATTTCTGGCCAAGGAGCTTCCCTAACTGACAGTTGATATTCTGCAGATGGTTTTCGGCTCCCAAAATGGTTCTTGCTTTAAACAATAGAGCTGGAAGGCTGGTTGAATCATACTGTTAATGAAAGAAAACTATTTAGATCCACAAATAACAATACTTTCATAACCCTTCATTTTATAACTCAATCCTATCACCAATGCCAATTTTGATAGGGCTTTCCATTAGTTTACTCCTTTCACTGTTGAACTAGGATCATTAAGAGAACTGGTTTTAACCCATCTCCTTAGAACATAATAATATAAAGTTACAAGGGAACCACTCAACAAAGCTTGTACTGATCTCCTTACCCCAGAAGACCAGCTAGTACAAAGAACTGAGGCATCTACATGATTTAAAACAAAGTCATTCCTGACACAGGTCAAACTTGGTCTCAGCAAGTATATGGGGTCTACTCCATCTCATGTCTATTTTAAAACAAACAAAAAAAAAACTATGAAGTAGGTTTATTTCACTGCAAGAATGGGACCACTTGGCCTATTAAAATCTGTTACAAAATAACCATAAATGAATCCTTCAGAGAGTTATTGGATCAATTAAAGACCTTAAAGGTTGCCAATCCAAATAACTAAGGACAAAGTTAGAACACAAACTCAACCTGAAATAGAACACAAAATCCAATCCAACTCATGACTTGTAAATTATTTTTTTAATGTTTTATTTATTATTTTTATTTTATGTGTATGCGTGTATTACCTGAATGTAGGTAAGTGCACCCGTGTCATGCAATGCCCGTGGAGGCCAGAAGAGGCTGTTGGATCCCCTGGGACTGGAGTTATGGATAGTTGTTAGCTGCCATGTGGGCACTGGGATTTGAACCCAGGTCTTCTGCAAGAACAATCAGTGTTCTTAACTTCTTAACCACTGAGCCATCTGCCTAGCCCGTTTTATATTTTTTAGGAAGGTCTCACTCTGTAATTCAGGCTGGCCTCAAACTTTTGACAATCTTCCTGCCTCAATCTCTCAATTGCTAACTTGTAAATTATTAACAAACTAAATTTCTTGTTGTAAACTATATCTGAAGGAGGGTAAATTCCTCTTAAGTAATTTTATATTTTTGACAGCTTGCTGAGAAATATGTTTTCAAGGTGGGGTTTTTTTTTTTTTTTTTTTGGCTATTTTGAGACAGGGTCTCCCTGTAGCCCCAGCTGTCCTAGAACTCACTATGTAGACCAGGCTGGCCTCGAACTCACAAAGATCTGCCTGCCTCTACCTCCCAAGTGCTGGGAATAAAGGTGTGCACCACCACGCCTGGCTAGTATGTGATTTTTAATCACCTGTCTGACTGCTTTTCTGCTGAATTTTCATTATTAATAAAACCATCTTAGGCCAGGCATGGTGGTGCACACCTTTATTCCCAGCACTTGGGAGGCAGAGGCAGGGGGATGTTTGTGAGTTTGAGGCCAGCCTGGTCTACATAGTGAGTTCCAGGACAGCTGGGGCTACAGGGAGATCCTGTCTCAAAATGACCAAAAAAAAAAAAAATCACATACTAATGGGATTTTTTTTGACATACAACTTACCATGTGATTGGAGGGTTCAGCTTAACAGATGTATGACAGCCTAATCTGTTCAGGATGCTGCAGGCTCTGCTCTCAGGAAGGAGTGGAAGAATAATTCACATTTGGTACTGTATGTTTCATTTAGAAAGAGGGAAAACTCACATGTCTCACTCTGAGGCAAAAAGGATGGATGCTACAACAGTACAAATGGCATTTGGGGTACCCAAAGAACCCCACTGGGGAATGTGGTATATTCCAAAGTAGTCACTACAGCTTAGTTTTCAGGGCTTGGGCTGTATCTCAGTGGAGAGCACTTGCTTAGCTTGTGCTCCAAGGTGTTCAATCCCCTAGCAAGGAGTTGGGGCAAGATCTAGGTTTTAACCAGGAATTATGCTCAGATTTAATGAATGCTACTATTATTTTTTACCAAATTTAGTAATCAAACCCCTAACTATAGTAAACTTTGGGCACATTAAAAAAGAAAACAAAACAAAACCACACTTTAAAAATGTTCTATTTCTGGGCTGAAGAGATGGCTCAGCAGTTAAGAGCACCGCTGCTCTTTCAGAGGACCCAGGTTTGGTTCCCAGCACCCTCACGGCTGTAATTCCAGTTCCAGGGGATCATCCAACAACCTCTTCTGGCCTTCATGGGCAATGTACACATGTGGTGTACTTATATACATGCAGGCAAAACCCATAAAAATAATAACAAAAACTTTTTTTTTTTTTTTTTTTTTTGTCTTTTTGAGACAGGGTCTCCCTGTAGCCCCAGCTGTCCTGGAACTCACTATGTTGACCAGGCTGGCCTTGAACTCACAAAGATCCACCTGCCTCTGCCTCCCAAGTGCTGGGATCAAAGGCGTAAGCCACCATGCCCAGATTAGTTTTATTATTATTTTTTTTTTTTTTTGAGACAGGGTCTCCCCGTAGCCCTAGCTGTCCTGGAACTCACAAAGATTTGCCTGCCTCTGCCTCCCAAGTGCTGGGATGAAAGGCGTGTGTCACCACACCCAGCTAAAGTTTTATTATTTTTATTTTATGTGTATGAGTGTACTGCTTACATATGAATAAGTGCACCTGTGTCACAAATTGTCCATGGAGGTCAGAAGGAGTCAGATCCCTGGGAACTGGAGTTACGGATGGTTGTTAGCCACCATGTGGGTGCTGGGAATCAAACCCAGGTCCTCCAGAAGAACAGAAAGTGTTCTTAACCACTGAGCCATCTCTCCAGCCCCCATGAATCATAGTCTATACAACGATATTCGGTGTACAACGTAAAATCTTTTAATTTAAACATTTCTACTTGTCTCAGTTGGATGTCTTAACAATAGCAAAATTCCAGAAGCAACTTCAAAATTTCTTAACACAGTAGTAAACCACATTTTTTCCTATCTGCCTTTTTTCTCAACCTCTAAACCACTCCTACCATTCACATGAAATAGCAACCTGCTTTCGGCTATGAAATAGTGTGAATATGGGGTAATAAAACTGGTTGGTCAGAACACGTCTGAGTGCTTTTAAAAAAGGAGTGTGCTTGTTCAAGTGAGACTTGTACAGAGTTCACACTTCCCTTAATGACGTATAGTTTTCTGAAATGGCACTGATTTGGGATGCTCTTTATTAAGCAGCTAAGAGGTGATGATTTAAATTTCTACCAACTAGACTCAACTCTCTGTGCTGTTACCTGTTTACCTTGCTTCTAAGCTATTGGTGGTGTACAAGCACACGCCCTCATCATCCCCCAAAGCATAGTAAGAAGGTAACAGAGAACTCACTGTTTCCTTTAAGTTTGGTTCTTTTTCCTGAACATCAGAATAATCTTGATAAAGCTGTTTTAAATTAGATAAGAAATGCACTGAATTCTTAAGAGATGACTTTCTCTCCTTAAGATCTTCATATTTTGTTTGTAGTTGTTTCAGCTCTGGCTCTAACCTAGATAACAAATAATAAAATTCTCAGAATTACAAAAAAATTCAGAAAAGAAATTGCATATGATTCAAATTAATAGAAAATATAAATTGTTCATGTTCTAAAAAAAATTAACATTAATTATTAAAGTGCCCACAGAAAAACAAACAAACAAAAAACCAAAAAATATCCCTGCCCCATAAATGGTACAGAATAAAGCCTAGCAACTAAAACACAGGAGTATCCAGAGTGAAGAATGAAAAACCAGGAGGAAAGACTGGGTGATTTATGCTTGGCTCTTCAATTATGAATGTGTGAAAGACTCTAGATTTCAATTAATCACAACTATGACATACAATGAATAATTAGCAGTAAGAACTAGGGGAGAATATGCTTTCCCTATGCCGAAATCCATCAATTCATTCAAGCTGTGAGAATGCCGAATCAAATGTAAATTTGGGTAACATTTTCTGGCCTCAGGCAGGAGTAGCCAGGCATTTTTGCAGTTTAACCAGGAAATTAACTGGCAGAAGGTTTTTCCCTTATCAAAATTTTCAAGGGCAAATAAAAGCAGCAGAGAAACTACACAAGGCCTGTATTAAAAAAAAAAGTGACCTGGGGCCAACCACTTCATATCTCATCTTCATATCTCATATCTTAGTTTAGCAAAAACTAGTGAAATTATAAAATAACAAAAAAAAATTAGTATAGAAAGGGGTGAAAGTGGATTCTGGAGGAGTTAGGGGAGTGATGAATATGATCAAAATACTTCATATACATGACGTTCTCAGAGAATAAATACAAAATATTATATTAAAAAATAAATTAATAGAATGCAGGTCTTCTTGATCCCAACATGGAAAGACCTCAGCACCTGTGGAGTCTAATCATACCCTTCAAGCTCAGAGTCTCATGGTATCATCTTGTATTTCCTTTTACTGTCACGTTTTTGTATTTTATTGCTGCTACATCTAAATAAATCTTACTGGGGAAAAAAAGGGGGGGATAACATGGATTTTATGGAGGGGGGAAGCTGCCAGTTTTTATTTTTCTAAATAAAGATATATAGATATATAAAAATAAATGTGTCTGTCATATATATATATATACATACATAAATAAAACATATCCTCTAATGTAAGCTCATAAAAGAGAACTCCTTCCTGGCAATTCTTCACACTGAACAATCACAAGCATTTCCTTAGCAGAACACCCTAGTGAACCAACTCCTGGCAGGCAGGAGCCAAGCTCTCAGCCAGCCTCCTGGTGCCTTTCCTTGGGTGGGATGGAGCATGGCTAAGTTACTCTCCTATGCCTTAGGTTTCTCATATGCAAAGCTAAAACAAAACCCAAAAAACCATGATACACTTTTTCTTACTATTCGCTTTCAAAATGTTTGTCCAACTAATACTACATCTAGAGAAGGAACCAAAAGGTTCAGCCTTTACATTTGAATGACCTCACATTGATGCCTTTTAGAGCCATATAATAGCCTACCTTGCAGAATTCTACCATTGAACCTTATCCCCAACCTGCTCAAACTCTTTTAAAAGCTTTTTAAGAGTAGAGAGCACAGCTAATCCTACTTAAGCTTCTGGCACATGTAGCAGTTTACAACTCAAAAGGCCAAAATGTATGGACAGGCTGCCAGACTCCTATGTACAGCAGTCTTCCTAATGAGTGCATGAGGACTGTGCCCAGCCCTTTACCTCAGAATATAGACTGACATGAGTGCTACTCCAGAGTATATATTTCAACAGTAGCGTAAGAGCCAGCAATCAGGAATCACAAGTTCAAGATCAGCCTGGGCTACATAGTAAGACCCTCTCTTAAAAATAAAAAATAAACATAAGCAAGCAAAATAATATAAGCAGCACTTTCTACATGAGTCACTGTACTCCACCTTTTCTGTACTCATTCACTTAGGTCACATGATGCCCCACCGAGGTACAGGTATTATTCCCATATATAAGAGAGGACTGAGGGGCTGGGAAGTTCAGTTCCTCGCTCAAGTTTGCAGTTAGCTGCAGAGCCTGGATTCAAACCCCAGGCAGTCCAATTCTAGAGTCTAGGCATTAAATCTGTAATCAAGCTGCCTGAGGCCAGAGCCAAGAGATGCTAGGAGACAGATCAGAGCAGAATCCTCCCTTGCTAAAGGTTTCCGCTACTGGGCAACAGAAGCTGCCATCATCGAGCATCCACGTGCAAAGGAAACCTGGGGCTTGTAGAGCATAGGAGCAAACAACACTCCCCTAAATGACAACTGCACTGCCCTTTAGGGAAGGTCTCAAGCAGGATTCTGATGATCTCTTACCGAAGCAGTTCATCCTGGACTTCAATTAAACGCTGCCTTTTCTTTTCCATGTCAGAAATGATCTAAGCAATGCAATAAATTTCCTTGTTAAGTTAGTTTGGTAAATGTTTCAACACTGCTGTGCATGTTGTGATAGGTATTCAAAACACAGAGGAAAAGAGGACAGACTAGGTGTGGCTTAGGGGTGGTCTTTGGAGGAGACTATAGGAACCCCGACCCCTCACCTCTTGTTCCCTGATGTTTAGCAGTTTTGTTCTATCATAGGCACAAAAGTAATGGGGTCAACCAGTCATGGACTAGAACTTCCAAAACTGAGCCAAAATAAACCTTTTCTCTTTGTAAGTTAACATTTCAGTATCTCACTGGAGTGACAGAAAGCTAACACAGATCTCCCCATTCCTTAGTCTTCATTAACATTACAAAATCAACCAAACAAAGGCCTGACTAAAAATATTAAACATTTTACATGAAGTGTAAAGGTTATAAAACTAAAATCAAGTCTTTACTTATTCTACACATTAGTATTCCATGATTAAATGACTAATCACTACAAGCTTTACCTTAGTATTCTTCCGTTTCAGAGTTTTCAACATCTGGACTTCTGTAAGCTACAATAACAACAATAACATGACCCAAGTACATCTATTTGCCAAAATTAAGTGTTAATAAGCTTCACTATATATATCACATTTTGTTTAAAAATAGCACGAGAAGGTGCTGGAGAGATGGTGCAATTGGTTAAAGTGCATGTCATTCAAGCATGAGGACCTGAGTTCAGAGATCCTCAGCACAGTCACACCTGGCTTTCACATGGGTGCTGGTGGGGACAGGAGGGCCAAGGAGCTCAATGGCCAGCAAGCCTAGTCAAACAGATGAACTCGATTCAGAAAGGCCTTGTCTCAAAAAGTTAGGGGCTGAAGAGATGGCTCAGTGGTTAAGAGCACTGACTGCTCTTGCAGAGGACCCAGATTTAGTTGCCAGCACGCACATGGTGGCTAACAGTCAGCCATAATTCCAGTGCAGGGGACCCGATGCTCTCTTCTGACCTTTGTGGGTGTTGCATGACACTGTGCAATTATATACATGCAGGCAATACACTCATATACATAACATAAAAATTAAAAAATAAAAAATAATAAAGTAAGTTGGAGTGCAACTGAGGAAGATACTTGACATAGACCCCTTGCCTCCACATGCATGTACCTACATGTGCACTTACACCCCCTGACACACAAAAAGAAATATGGGTAGTTCTCATCTGTTTATTGTCACAGAGCCAGAAATATAAGCTTTTCGAAGACTACAGTATACTATCTAAACTTCAGTTAAAAAACTTTAGACCAACAAAATTATGTCAGTGAACATACCATTCTGATGAGTTCCCCTTTAATATTAAAAAAAAATTTGTTGATGGCTTCCTTACAACTTCTCGATTCTATTCTTTGTCTGTAGTAAAAAAAATAAATAAATAAAGCCAGGTGTCATAAAAGATTCTGAAAGATATATTCATTTACTTAGTACACAAGTACACACAGTTTGGCACATATTGTTTTAAATATATTAAGATGGCAATATTAAATTAAGCCTGTAGCTTTTTCTCATGCTTAATAAAACTGGGAATAAGAAAGGAGAAGAAGGAGAAAACAGTGGTCAGAGAATAATGTCAGCTTGAGGGATGACTGCACACTTGTAGGCTGTACTATCAGGGAGGAGAGACCTGGCTGTTGTTCTTGTCTGGACACTCGTGGCAAACCAGTTACTGTAGCATCAGTGGATGCTTCTAGGACTCTACCCATTACTGAATTGAGCTGTTTCTCTCCAGTGATAGCAATTGAAACTAGGGCTTTGAGCTTGCTAGAAAGGTACTTTGCCACTGAGCTATACCCCCAATATCTTATTTTTGAGCTTTAAGAGTTCTCTGAAAATTATGATTAGTAGTCCTTTATCATAAACATTTCAGAATTTTTATTCTTTTACAATTTCCTACATGTATATGCTGTTATTTGATCGAATCTCCCCTTATTATTCTCACCCCTCTCCCACCATATCCCTTTCCTTCCCAAGTCCCCCACCTGCTTTCCTGTCTGTCTTTTTGTGTGTATCCCACAATATTTAATTAGGATTGCCTACACAAGCTTGGTGAGGATCATATCCATCTCTTGCAAAGATTTTCTCCTATTTTGTAAACTGTTGTTTTATACTTGACTTTTTTTGAGACAGGATCTCCCTGTAGCCCCAGCTGGCCTGGAACTCACTAGGTAGACCAGGCTGGCTTCAAACTCACAAAGATCTGCCTGCCTTGGCCTCCCAAGTGCTGGGATTAAGGGCATGCGCCACCATGCCTGGCGTCATTTTATACTTGAAAGTGTCCTGCATAGAGAAGAAATTATTAAAAGTCTTGTTTACCAGTTCTTTCATGGATGGTGTTCTTGATGTTAAAGTCATTGTCAAATCCAAGGTCATTTGGATTTTCTCTTATGTTATCTTCTAGTTTACAGTTGCATCTTACATTGGGTTTCTGATCCATTTTGGGGTGTGATAAATTAGGGTGTCTACACTCATTGCTGTTTATGGTTGTCCTACTGCTATAGCACCATTTGTTGACAACTGTCTCCATTGTACTTGCTTGTGCTCTTGTCAAAGCTTACTTGACTCTATATGAGTTCCACTGATCTGTTTGTGTATTTTTACTGACGCTACACTGTATTGAGTACTGCAGCTTTATATGGTGCTCTGATGACAGGCAACACCAGCTCTCCAACTTTAATACTGATTTGGCTATTATCAGTCTTCTGTCTTTCCACTTAAACATTTGAATAAGTCTGTCAATGTCCACAACATAACTTGTTAGAATTTTGATTGGGATTGCATTGAATCTAGATTAAGCAGTGAGGCACTGACAATATTAAGTTTTCTTATTCATAAGCAAGGAATATTATTGCTGCATTTATGTGGTTCTTCCTTGATTTTTTTCATCCAAATTTTGTACTTTTTTCTATAGCTCTTATATGTATTTTGTTAGATTTATACCCGAGTATCTTATCAGGGGTATTACTTATGTAAGTGGTATTAGGCTTTTAATTTCAAATTCCACTTGTTCCTTGCTGGGATGCTATAAAGCAACTGACTGCTACACATTAACTTTGTATCCTTCAACCTTGCTGTAATTAATTATTAGTACCACGAGTTTCCCCTCCACACACCTTGGTTTATTCTTTCAGTTTTCTATATAAAGTATCATGTCACCTGAGAACAAAGGCAGTTTTATTTCTTCTTTTCCAATCTCAGTACTTTTTAGTTCTTTTTCTTATACTAAGACATCCATTAGAACATTGAAGTGAAGTGTTAAGAAGGGACAACCTTGCCTCCTTCATGATGCTGGTGGGAAAGCCTTTAGTTTCCCATCATTAAGTGTGTTAGCTCAAGTTCTTTGTTCTTGTTCTTCATCAAGTTAAAACAGCTCACTCATTCCAATTTTTTTTTTTTAATCATGTGTACTGGATTTTGCCAAATACTTTTCCTGGCTCTATTAAGATGAGGTCAAGTTTTCTTCCTTAGCCTATTGATATGACGGACTATTTTACTTCTAAAATAACTGAGGAATGTCCCTGGTCCAGATGCAGAGTGGCTCAGAGACGTTCCTCCCTTCCCATGTCTCGTGCCTTCCCCACACAGGCACTCCCTCGCACACTACTGTAGCCCCTGCCCTCCTGCTTCCATCCTCATTTCCTGAGCTGCCAGCTCATTCCTGACTCCAGGTCCCCATGGAGGTCCCCCCTGTCTTCTAACCTGGCTGGCTGCTATCCCAGTGGATTCTATTCTCAGAAGGCCAGAAGCATTCACAGCTGTGGCTGGGAAGTCCATGTCTCAGACTCATGCCAGGCTGAATTTAAAAAATATTTTTTGTTGGTTTTATAACCTTACGTTTTTTAAATGAACAACTCTATCTTCAGGAAAGAAACAAACAACAAAAAAAACCCACAAGAATAAAACCAGACTTGTTCCTGAATGGCCTGGAGAAGAACAGGCGGAAAATCGGTTGACTGCAGCTGTTTCTCCATCATTCCCCACCAAACCTCAGGCTGGAGAAGACAACTGAAGGACTGAACCTGCGCTTGACACTGCCAGGACAGCAAAGGGTGACGCGCTGACCCAAGGCTGTTCTGTGCCATGAGTGCCTGGGGCCTGGCAGCCTGGGCTCCTCCCCCACCTCCCCTCTCACTGGGAGCTGGCAGGGACCAGACTCGGGTGTGGCTGTATTCTACACACCCTACCTGAGAAACCGACAGCCCAGGAGGAAATAAGCTCACGGGCTGAAGGAACAGCACCAGAAGAAGTTATTTCAAAAGCAAAACCTATAAACTCATACCAGATTAAAGCTTATCAAAAACGTTTAGAATAGATGTTCTAGTAACTTGAAATTAGCATAACAATATGTATATTGGAAATGTACAAATACATTAAATGCAATGATAATGAACCTGGAAGAAAGAACTAACTGTACCTAGAGCAAAACCAATGAGGCCCACATATTATGACATCAACGGACTTACCTATACTCCAGGAGGGTTTTCTCAAACACAGACAAAACAATATCCAAGTCCATGATGTCGCTGATTCTCTTTCCTTCTGGACACCAAATATGCATACTTTCAGAAGGATCTAGAATATTAAGGGCAAATCAGTTTAATACACTGATTATTTGTAATTTGGCTCCAGGTCCAGTGCTCTGAAAACCTGAGACAAAATCAGTCCCACCAAAATGTAAGAACAGCTACTGTTGAAGAACCACATGGGAAAAGCCATGTCCACACCTTCCCACCCCAGGCATGGTCTTTCACACCCATCCACAATGTCACTCTACTACAGCCACTTTTGAGACTACAGAGTGGGGGATCTCCTTTCAGCTATATTAAACCTGTTCACATGGAGTTGTTACTTATGCTCTTGGTTAGATTTAAAACCGTGCAGCTTCTGGTAGGACTACGGAATTATAGGACTACGTGGGAACTTCAGTTTCCAAAGTTCAGCAGTTTCTTATAAAATTGAACATGTTTAGAATTTATCCAAAATACATCAAAAGATTGAAATGGATTAACAAGACAGGTGCTAAGGTAAGTGTAATAAAACGCTAACTCTGAAATCTAGAAGGTAAGTATATGAATACATACTCTGAAGGTTTTCTAATTCGCTGTCTGTTAAAATTGTTCAGGGAAGTGGGATGGGGGAGGATTGGAGGTGGATTTGATCAAAACATATATGCATGTATGAATATTAAAGTACTTAATTAAAAAATTTTCTGGATAAACGGTTGGAAAAAATATTACTCTAAGAATCATTCTTTCCTAATGTGGCAGTATATGAACTTACAATTTCAACAACTTCAAAATAGATTTTTTCGCAGACGTCCTTATATGAGTGACAACGTACAAAGCACATTCTGTACCTGAGGCTGTTGCTTTACTTCTTGGTTTCTTCCTTTTGCCAGGAGACAACTTCCCTGTTCTCTGAGTTTTCTACCAAAAACAAAACAAAAAACAGCACAGTTTTTTACTTAAGAAAAGTTCTCATTTTCCTGAAACTTAAAGATTAAGAACTTAGACAATATTATCAAACTATTAATTATCAGTATTTTACTACGGTTCTAATTTAGTTCTTAATATGTTAGTTATACATTCTAAATTAACACAAAACATTGCAAAAAAATTATAACAGAATTTTCAGTTGACTTTTAACAATCACTGCAATGAAGTGAACCTTTATTATTTAGTATGATATAATGGGCAGATGTGATGGCACACCTCTGATCCCAACACAGGAGGCTGAGCTAGGAAGATCATGAGTTTCGGGCCAGCTCGGGCTACTCAGCAAGAAAAAGAAAAAAGAAAATGAATGAATCAGCTCAAGTTTCTGCTGGTAACATGATGGCAGGCCTGGCTCTGTAGCTCATATGTGGGAGACCGGCTTGAGCCTAGGGTGAAAGTCTTACTGACAGCCATACAGCAGGCCTGAGGCAATGGCCCGACTGCTGGAGCCACAAGGAACGCCTTGTGATATTTTGTTCCGGTTGGCAGATTATGAGACTGATGCCTAGAACTCGCCACTCCCTAATCACCACCCTTGGAATCACTGCTGTACTGTGATAGGATGCTAAACCTGTTACGCTAATAAGATATCCTACTTGCTGTGCTGTGATTGGACCACTACCCCTATATAAGCTGGTGCCTTCCTGCAATAAAGCAGACCTGTGTCACTGAACCTGGTCTCCTGTGTCTGAATGCGGCTCTGCTGACACAGTCTCCTCGCCAGCCCTCGGGTCTGGGACTGGGCAGAAGCACCGACGACAGGAGGCAGCACAGGGCAAGCAGAAGAGCTGCCTCAGCACCAGGTGAGCAGAAGAGTGGCCTCAGCCCAGGACAAGCGGAGGAGCAGCCTCGACACCCGGGAGAATGAAGGAGCAGCACCTACGAGAACGGAGGAGCGGCTGCAACTGGCGGTGACCGCACTCATATAGTAGAGGGAAATGGCTCCCCTTAACAATGCTGGGTCTGTGGCTGGCTACCAAAGAAACTGACAGAAGTTAGATGAAGAGAGCACCGTACATGCTCTGGAGTCCATACAGGAGTCTCACAAAAGCAAGAGGCATGAAACAGGGCCTGATGACTGATGTACACACCACACCCCAAGCTACAGATAGGAACAGGAACTTGGGCTTCTGAGGGGCGGGGGCCAAAAAAGATTGGAAGAGGGAGGAGATGTAGGTGAGTAAAGGTCATCTTACATGTAACTCTCAGGTAAGCTGCCGCCTAGCAGCCTACTTCCCTATACAGAGATTCTCATGGAGTGTATGTTTCCATTACAGAAGCAAATTTCTTTTATAAGCACACAGGTTTTCAGAGCTACTGCCATGTCTGTGGTTTCTCAGAATAATCACTCAAAAAGCCAAAGTACAAAGTACATTTGAGCACCTACAGTCATATTTTTTGAGGGGGGTGATCCTTAGCCCTAACACTCTCACCGTAAATAACCCTAAGTGGGGTGAAGGGCAGCAACTTTATTTAGGTAACACAAATCTGTTCACGGAAAAAAGGGAAACTCAGAAGGTGAACCCCATGAATACCACACCAAATCTGGAAACAATTTTTAGTCCGCTGCATAGCAACTGAAGTCCACGCGGAGCCCAGCCATCCTTGTCTGAGACACAGAGCTTCTGGAGCAGCTGCAGCTCTTGAACAAGCTGCTCAGAGCATCGCGAGCCAGTCTGCAGCCACTCTAGCAGTCCTGAGTGACTGCCACATGTGCAAGGTAAGAGTACGCCAGGATTACCAGAAAGAGGCTGCATGGGATCAAACATAACAGATAATACAAGACAAGTAGTGTTGGAGGAGACCAGCTGCAGAAGATGCAGTGTTCTCGCTAACTGGTGAACCCGTCTACCTGACAGAAAGAGCACACTGAGGAGTAAGAGCCACCAACTAGGACATGCACTCTTAGACAGGGCCACAAATTGTTCCCAATGGGGCAAAAGCTGGTTCTTAAGGGGAGAAAGACTCAAAAACAACAAAAACCCACAAAAATTTATACCTCCCAGGGCATGGAAGTGATTCATACCATACCTGAGATATTAAAATTGAACTGTGTGTTTGTGGGGAAGTGTTGAGAGAGGATATGCCTAAAAGAGAGGACAGTAATGAAAACATGTTAAAAAATTAAACACTGCCCTAGAGTGACACCCACTCTAGACTACCCATCTAACTAAGCCAAAAGCCAACCTCTGACTTGATCCACCAGGAGGACAGCAGAGGTTGTAGAAAACAGACTTCCCTTAAGTGTGGGTGGCACCTGTGAACACAGTGGGAGCTGCTGCCTTGGTTACATGTATACATGAGCTGCTACTATAATAGCCTAGAGAATCTCTGGCTGGCTTTTCACGTGATTAGAACCTGCAGACAGCCTGAAGGACTTGAAAACAACCCCAGTCTCCAACCAGAGAGAAAACAGGGGCTCTAGTTTTAAAGCTAGAAGAAATAAAATTCTTCCACTAATTTGAAAATTCTTTAAGGAGAACCCTTTGGCTCCTCTGAGATTTCAGTCCTGGACAGCCCTTGATTTCAGCCTTATGAGACCCTGAGCATAGCAGCTACTAAATTGAACCTGAACTTCTAACCTCAAGAAACTGTGAGATGATAAATCTATGAATTTAAGTCACCAATTTTGTGGCATTGTTATGAAGTAATTAGAAATAAATAGAGGTTGAGTCCCATTAAATTAGATGCCTGTAAAACACCTTGGGCTTTTTACAAATTAACCCTCAGAAAAGATAAAACCAAGCCCTATATAACACAATGATCAGAGTGAATCTACTAGAATAAAAGTTAACATTACCGACCAAAGCTTAAGAGCCCAACATTTCAATAACAATGTGTATTACATAGCTTAAAGTTCTAGATTTAAAATGCCACACAAGAAAATGTGACCCATAGTCAAGAAAAGAAAGACTCAAGAGAAACTGACTTAAAGAAGACCAAGGTAATAGAAAACAAAGACTTGGAAGTAGCTGCCACCATGTCTAAGGAAGAGAAGGGAATGGTGGTCTTAATAGAGAGACTTAGTGAGAAACAGAAACCATGAAACCAAGTATTCACAGGTCAGCCCTCCTCTCTGGTGGCTTTGTCGCTTCTGCCTTCCGGTGGCTGTGGCATTCATTCCTGAGCTTGTGGCTACAACCCAGGCCCTGCCTCCATCTTCACAACATCCTTCACATCTTTCTCTGCCTCTCTTATAAGGATACCTGTGACATTTGTGGCTACTCATATAATTCAGAGTCCTCTATAATTAGAATGTGTGTATACCTTTGGTGGGATCAGTTAGCCACTCTATATGAATTTAAATGCAGATAATAAATGGCAAAAAAAAAATGGTCAGTGAAAGCTGGGAATGTTGCTCAGTTGCTGCAGAGTGCTTACCTAGCATGGATAAAGCCCTGGGTTCCATCGACAGCACCACAAAAACTGAGCATGGTGATGCATACTCATAATCCTAGCACTCAGGAGATAGAGGCAAGAGGATCATAAGTTCAAGGTCATCCTTGGCTACAAAGCAAATTTGAGGACATCCTGATCTACAAGAGACCCTATCTCAACACAAAACAAAAGGGGCTGAGGATGTAGCTTAGCTGGTAGAGTATTTGCCAAGCATGCAAAAAGCCCTGCATTCCTCACACACCCCTCCCCACTCCCCAGCACAGAACATAGGCCTGGTGGAATATGCCCATAACCCTAGCACTCACATTTGGGAGGTAAAGACAGAAGGATTAGCAGTTCAAGGTTATCCTCAGCTACACAGTGAGTTCAAGGCACTCTGGACCGAATAACATCATCTCCAAAAAATACCCCTAATCCCTCCCCCCAAAAAAACAACAAAACACATAAACCAATGAAAGGAATGGCCAAGGAGTTTGAAGCTAGCAATGAAAGTGCATCCAATTTGCAAATCATAGTGAAAGGAAACTTAAAACAGGATCTAAGAGTCTCAGGGATCTTAGTAAAAGTATCTTATGATCTAAAATATGTATAAAAGTTCAAAAAGGCTGAGCATAGTGGTGCACGCCTTTAATTCAGCACTTGGGAGGGAGAAGCAGGTGAATTTTTGTGAGTTTGAGGCCAGCCTGGTCTATATAGAGAGTTCCAGGCCAGTCAGAGCTACATAATGAGGCCCTGTCTCAAAACAACAAAAAAACTGGGGGCTGGAGACATGGCTCAGCAGTTAAGAACACTGGTTGTTCTTGCAGAAGACCCAGGTTCAAATCCCGGCACCCACATGGCAGCTAACAACTGTCCATAACTCCAGTTCCAGGGGATCCAACAGCCTCTTCTGTCCTCCACAGGCATTGCATAACACGGGTGCACTCACATACATGCAGGGAATACACTCATACACATAAAATAAAAATAATAAAGAAAATTTGAAAAAAAAAAACAAAAACAAAAAACAAACAACAACTAGCCTGAAAATGGCTTGGGGGCATGTCTGCAGGGTGTTTTCTTGATAGCTAATTGACGTAGGAGGGCCCAGCCCACTATCTATTGTCTCAATTTCCCTTTTTTTGTGGTGAGGTATAATTTCAACTGACTGTTTGAGCCATTTAAAAAATATTTATTTTTACTAACTATAGTTATTGGGCTGTGCAATAGATCTCTAAAAATTTATTCTACATAACTGAAATTATACTTTTTAACCAACATCTCCACTCTTTTCCCAAGTCCTTTCTCATAGTGTTCTTGTCCAATCTGACAATCTCTGCCTTTAAACTGGACTCTTTGGCTCAGTTCCTTTTTTTTTTTTTTAATTTTAATTTATTTTATGTGTATGCATGTATTGCCTGCATGTAGGTAAGTGCACCTGTGTCGCGCAATGCCCATGGAGGTCAGAAGTGGTGTTGATCCCCTGGGACTGGAGTTATAGACAGTTGTTAGCTGCCATGTGGGTGCTGGGATTCGAACCTGGGTCTTTTGCAAGAACAACTAGTGTTCTTAACCCCTGAGCCATCTCCAGCCCCAGTTCAGTTCCTTTTTATGTAGTGTTGCTGTGGTTAGGGATAAGTCTACCATCTTGCTGTTTATGTTCCATGTGTTCCTTGTAATTTTTGTTCTCGTGCTGCTTCTCTAAAAGAGGATGTGTTCTGTATGTAATTTGAAGGACATTTGGCTCATACAGTCTATCTTACCCCACTGGTGGTGGTTCTGTGGATTTACGTTTGCTGCCTCTTGTTGTTGTTGTCCCTGTTGCCAGCTCTGAATTGAGTATTGTTGGTATTCTATTCACTTTTCTGTCAGATAAGTATGTGTTCTAGTTTGCCTTTCGGTTGCTGTCAAACACCATGACCAAAAGCAACTTAGGGGGGAAAGGGTTTATTTGACTTATAGCTACAGACCATTATAGAGGGACGCCAAGGCAGGAACTGAAACAGAGACCATGGAGGAACACTACTTACTGGCTTGTTCCCAGGCTCATGGTCAGCTAACCTGTCCTATTCAGCCCAGGCTCATCTGCCTGAGGATGGCACTGCCATAAAGGCATTCAATTATAATTTGTCAGTTAGAAATAATAATTGTATTAACAAAAAATTTTTCAGGAAAGAAATAAGTTTTAAACTTCCGAGAGGTGGGGTAGTGGCACATGCCTATAGTCCCAGCTTGGGAGTCCATGAGTTCAAGGCCAGCCTGGGTACCATAACAAGACCTGATCTCAAAAATTCAAAACAAAAACAAAAAGAAATTCAAAGAACTAAAGAAAACCTAGAAAGTTGTGATTGTAAAAAAATAAAAACAAAATCTCCTTTACATAAATGATAGATCAAAAAGAACATCACCCTCTTTACCACAAAATACAGTAAGAAGACATATTTGAACTATCAGTCAATTGGACTTCAACTGATATGTAGAAAGGCTCTCTCTCCTCCCAGGCTCTTCCTCCTCCCAGGCGCCTCCCCCTTCCCCTCCTCCTTTTTTTTTTTTTTGGTCTTTTTTAGACAAGGTCTCCCTGCAGCTCCAGCTGGCCTGGAACTTGTTATTTAGACCAGGCAGGCCTGGAACTCAGAGAGACCCGCCTGCCTCTGCCTCCCGAGCGCTGGGACTAAAGGCGTACACCACCAAGGCCAGCATGAGACCTTTCCCTTCAAATCCCCAGAACATCTGAATTAGGAGAGATAGCTGCCATGTATAGCATGACCGGGACCCAAAGGGAGGAAACCTTCAATTCCTGAGAACAAAAGGGGTTTTGGACTCTTACAGGCTTTCAGGGGGGTGGATAAACTCCTACCATGTGATCTAGCCTGGTCTGGCCTATGTACCAAGGGGCACAGAGGTAGTAGGCACCGGGTAGGGTCATAAACTTATCTTGCAGCTATGGAATTCATGATATCTAGAGGGTAAGAAAAGTCCAGAAAAGAATTAAATAGCAAAGACCAAAAAACATGGAACCAATTTTGGTTATGGACTTGTAAAGTGAACTTAGCTTCCTTTCCAAATCTTCTAGGTTCTAAAATTAACAATAAAAGCTTTAAATTGTCGGGCGTGGTGGCACATACCTATAGTCCCAGCACTTGGAAGGCAGAGGCAGGCGGATCTCTGTGAGTTCACAGCCAAGCTGGTCTACATAGTGAGTTCCAGGACAGCTGGGGCTACAGGGAGACCCTGTCTCAAAAAGATGAAAAGAAAAAAAAAAAAGCTTTAAATTTATTTTACTATTTTTAGTTATATTTATTATTTTTATTTTATGTGTACGAGTGTACTGCCTGCATGTATGTGAGTGCACCCATGTTAAGCAATGCCTGTGGAGTCAGAAGAGGGCATCAGATCCCCTGGAAATGAAATTACAGACGGCTGTTAGCCACCAAGTGGGTGCTGGGAACTGAACCCCAGTCCTCTGCAAGAGCAGCCAGTGCTCTTAACTGCTGAGCCATCTCTCCAGACCCTATTTTATTTTTACAAATATTTTATTTATTATTTTATGTATATGAGTATACTGTCTGATATGTTTGTAAGTGCACCCACGTTGTGTGATCCCCGTGGAGGCCAGGAGAGACCTGCTGGATAGCTTTTAGCTGCCATGTGGTGCTGGGAACTGAACCCGAGTCTTTTGCAGGAACAGCCAGCTCTCCAGGCCCTTTAAATTTATTTTTAAAATAACTGAAGGAAATGCTTTATGTCTCTATTTTTAAAAAGTTTTATTATTTTTACTTTATGTGTATGTGTGTATTGCCTGCATGTAAGGTAAGTGCACCTGCGTCGTGCAATGCCCATGGAGGTCAGAGAGGCTGTCGGATCCCCTGGGGCTGGAGTTATGGACAGTTGTTAGCTGCCATGTGGGTGCTGGGATTAGAACCCAGGTCTTCTGCAAGAACAACCAGTGTTCTTAACCGCTGAGCCATCTCTCCAGCCCTGTATTTCTCTATTTTTTTAATGCAGCTTTTTCTCTGCAGGGGACGGCAGAAGCAACTGTCTTACCTGCTGTGTTTGTGTTGCCCGGGTCTCTTTTTCAGCAGAGGACTGGGCACTGAGGGGTCCTGTCCTCTTTGGGGTGACAGGTTCAGCTGGCTTCTCAGAGTGCACCAAAGGAGCCACAGCTGCACCAGCTTCCCGCTGTTGAGTGCTCACTTTCTCTGCTGACTGAACTTTTCTCCTTATATCATCTTCAGAGCTTTCAGATTCACTACTAGTAGTAGGTGGAAGTTTTCTTCTTGGCTATGAAGAAAAGAGCGTTACTGTTAGAAGTTATTCTTACTGTAAAAGCAGGAAATTACAGCATTCCATCAAAACCGAACATAATAGACAGATGGCAGCCTGCTCGGTGGCCAAGACATGAAACTGAATCAGAATGCCACGTAGGCATTCCCAATTCTCTCTGCCTTTGCGGAGCACAAACTGAGCACATTACATGAATGCTGCAGAAGCTGACTAGGTAAAGAGAGACTTCAGACTTCTTCTGTAACATTTCAGACATAAAAATATTTTTGGTGAGCTATCAAGATGGCCCTGTGGGCAAAGGCACTTGCCACCAACACTAATGACCTAAGGCCTAATACCCACGTGGTAGAAGTAGAGAACAGACCCCCACAAGTAGTCTTCTGCCTCCACATGCACACACATGCACACACGCACACACGCACGCACACACACACACACACACACAGAGTAAATATAGTAAATTAAAAATTTTCCTTTATTATAAGAGTAATTCCCAAGACATATTTTCTATATGAAAAATAAAGGACATTTTTCTCTATTTTCATCTAAGTAAAATATGAAATATCTTACAAATTAAGATAGAATACTCCTACATACCTTTTTTGCACTGATTTTTATAGATTCATTTCCACTTGCTTCATTTTCAGAAGAGTTTGAACTGTGCCAAACAACAAGCCATCAGTATCACACACATTTCTGCTTTATTCCCATCTACCTTCAATAAGTTGCTTCTTCAACATAGAAACAGGCTCGCTCTAATGAGGCATTTTCTCTCTAATGAGACTTTTGTAGGTCTGTCCTTCCTAGGTTTACTGGCCATTTCCCACATCTTCTCACACCCCACCACCTCAGTTTATCCTAAGCAAGTGAGTGACAGTGATCCATTGTGGTCACATCTAAGAACTGTATTTCTTTCAAGTTACTGGTCCCAACTCTGTGGGCCATTACTGGCACTAAAAGCAAATCCATTGGGCCTATCGCTGGGACACTGCCTTCTGTGTGGATATAGAAGACCCTGTGCTAATCTGGAACCTTGGGTATAGAGACTCGGGCAGACTAGGGCATGAAAGAGATTTGGTAGTAACATCTAAACCCAGACGCATCAGATCAAGCAGATGGCTTCAGATGCAGGGCCACACTTACAAATGACCAACTCACCAGGGACATCAGAGGGGGGAGAAAGAGGTAGCTAGGAGATGAGCCAAATACCTGGGGAGGATGTATCAGCTGCCACTGAGGCCTCCCGTGGACTAGGAATTGTTGCTCTCTCTCCATTTCTTCTTTCTTTCCTAACTTACATTTGTATTTATTTGTAAATCCTGACTTACTTTCCCCAAGTCCTTCCTTTGGTGGCAGCACCATCAATCCCACCAATCCCTTGGTACAAGCAGTAATTCTGGAGTTGCTTAGATGGTAACTCTTCTCCATCACCAAGACCTTTTTACTTGACACAAGGTCTCCCTGTAGCCCCAGGTGGCCTGGAACTCACTATGTAGTACAGGTTGGCCTCGATACACAGATCTTTCTGCCTCTACTTTCTGACTGCTGGGATCAAAAGCATGAGCTACCACACCCAGCTATGATGTGCTTTTTAGCTGTGTTTCAAACATGTCCATTTTTCTTTATCTCTGCTACAACTACTCCTGTCCTTGCCGTCCCAACTATGAAAACAGCTTGCAAACTCGTCTTTCTCTCCCACCCATATAAAAGTTAGGTGTAGTTGCCATGCCATGTATGGGGTGGGCAGGTGGGGAATACAGGATGACACAGACCAATGACATGAGATGTGGAGCCTGGCTGGTCAGTCTAGCTGAATTGGCGTTCAGCAAGAGACACTCAAAAAATAAGGTGGAAAGTAATAGAAGAGGACACTGTTTGTCACCTCTGGCCTCCATGTGTGCACACAGAGATGTGCACTACACACACTATAACATACACACACACATACACACACAAAAAAAATAGTAAAAACCTAATGTAAGAAATTCACACCTTCCACATATATAGTTAACCACAACAGATAAAATTTAAGATCCTATTTATAGGAACTGCCAAGCATAAACAAAAACAGATAAATCACCCAGGAATAAACCTGAGACACATTCAAAATCTCTACAAATAAACTTATGACAGCACTAAAGGGCAAAAAGAACTTGAGCAAATGGATAGTCACTGGTTCATCACCAGATACCCATTCCCTCTGGATCCACTTAAAACCCTAACCCAACCAAAAAGATAGCATGCTAAGACAATTATAATTATTATAAGAAATATCTGAGGTAAAAATGACTGAAAATTATGTTTTCATATCCCAATTATCTTGAAAAAAAGAACAGCAAGTTGGCTCTAAAGATCTTGAAATAACTGGTTTTCTTAGCTTTTATCTTAAGGAGCTGCTCAGCAGTTCCATAATAAGAAACTGCTTAAGGGACAACCATACTTTTTTCCCTCTTCTTTTCCTTGAGGGGTTGAAGGCACAGAAGACCCACAGTGTGTGGAGAGTTCTTCATCAGTATAGATAGCAGTGCTGTGTAACGGAGGATCTACAAGACAAAAAAACACAAATCTAAATCTGGCTGTATGGGTAGCATTTAAGCTATTTCTCTTACAGTGGAATTAAGAAAAATTCAATTACACAAGCCACATTCCCAAATTTTTTTTTTAATCTCATACCTCGATAATAGAAAATTTAAACCAAATCACCAATAAAGATGTTTTCAAATTATATATTTATATTCTTATGTACATTAATAGAAATATTTTCATAACAAAAAGTAAACAGATAGGAAGTTAACATTTTCTTTCCTTAGCCCTATGCATTATCATATGCTTACCTGGGAGGCCACTGCATTCATTCAAATTCTTCAGGTTTACAGTGGGCTGTGCCCCTCTGACTCCATTACCTGCCAACTGCCGTACTTAGAGGGCACTCAGTATGTGTGAAGGAATGCCCCTGCAGAGGAAGAGGTCAGTCCTCACTCACTTCCCTTCCTCTCACCACTCTGGATTGCTAGAGCCTTTGCAGTAGAACAGGAAGCAGAAAGATGTAAGAGATGTGAGAGACCAGAGGCCTTAGTGGGAAGGCACAGAAGGAGATGTCAGGGTGGCTGCTCCTACCTGCTCAGGAAAGAGGACTAACAGGAGACTGCACTGGGTGGAGATGTGGCAGGGGTGGAGAACTTGAAGGGGGCAAGGCAGGTGACCATTCCTGACAGACTTGAATTGTTGCAAGGGAGGCCTGGCAAAAGCCAAGCAACTATTTCTTCATGTTCAAATGTTAGCATGATGGCACAAACTTCATTATTTTCAAATAAATAGCAGCTTAAATACTGAACAGTCAACTGCATAATTTTAAAGTTGCAATACAGTCCAAGTTGCCCACTAAGCAATGGGATCTATTCTACAGCTGTAGAACAGATAAAGAATAGCATGGGGGAGCACTGGGGGACAAATAAACAATCCTAAATTTCTGCAGGTAACCAATCATATTAACTGGATCCCTATAATTTAACAATAAAAAGACAAACTGCTCCACTCTAAAAATGGGCAGTGTCTGGAGAGACACTTCAGTAATGATTTCCAACTGACCAATAGCGCAGAAGGGGTGCTTGATATTATGGAAATACATATCACAACCATGAGATACAGTTCACATTCCCTGGGATAGTTATAACCAGGAAGAGAGAAAGAGAAGAGAGAGATGAAAAATAAGTCCCGGTGAGGCTGTGGGAAACTGGAACCATGCACACCAATGGTGAGGTGAAAATAGCGCAGCCACTGTGGAAAACTGCAGGAATTCCTCAACAATGTAAATATAGGGACTAGTGAGATGTATCAGCAGGTAAAAGCACGTGCTGTTCCAGTATGATGATCTGAGTTCAATCCCTGGAACCCACATGAAGGTGGAAGAGTCACTTCCACAGAGTTGTCCTCCAACATCCACACATGTGCTGTAGCACAGGCTATCCCCCCCAATAATAACAAATAAAAAATTTTAAACATTAAATGTAGAACTACTGTACAACCTAGTGATTCTGCTTATGTTATGGGTCTATATGCCAAAGATGCAAGATAGACTCAGAGGTCCCTGCATACTCATGCTAAGAACAGTGTTATTCACAGCAGTCAAAAGTTTTACCAAATATCTATTGACAGATGAATGAAACAAAGCGTGGTATACACACGTGATGAATTATTATCACCCAGCTTTCTGCTGAGGTTGTTTTGAGACTGGGTCTTACTCCTCTGCACTGAGTACCTGGACAACAGGGTTGCACCACAACCAGTGCAAACATCTGAGCATAATGAGAAGCAATGAATTTTACACTTTACAGGGGTGAATCTTCCAGTATACGAAGTACATGTTTTAAAAATTATAGAATTTTAGATTTAAAATAATTATAACAATTTAAGTCATAAAAATGGCATATTCCGATAATTCTCATTTTACTCATGTAAGATTTATATACGCTATAGAAAATGTATATTTCTCTTTAAAAAAATATATAAGGTATATAAGTTTTCAAAATTCTCTCTATATATACAATTTTGACTTAAGAATTCTTATATTTGAAGATACTTTTATATTTGTACTGTACCTACCAAGCATTGTTGTTTTAAAGTCATTTTATTACAAGATAAAGGATTTAAAATACTGACCAAAAGTTTCATAAGGTTCATCTTTATCATTTTCTCCCAGTCTGCCAATGCTTGAGACATCAGAATTATCAGGAAAGTCAAACACATCATTAGGCTTGTGCTTTTGACCAGCTTTCTAAAAGTGAATAAAATCAATCACTGAATTGGCAAAGAACAAAGCACATCACAATGCTTATTCAGTAAGGCTACTCCACTACCACTGTTTGCAGAAACTGCTTGCAGGGACTGGTAGACCTTTTCTATGAAGGTCCAGAGTAAATATTACGCTGTCAGTGTCAGAGCAGAGCTTCAGCTGTCAACTGGACACACCTGGGAGAAGGGAACATCAATTGAGGTATTTCCTCTTGGACTGGCCTGTAGACATATCTGTGGGATATTTTTTGATTACTAATTGATGTAGGAAGGCCCAGCCTACTGTGGGCAGTGCCATTCCTGGGCAGGTGGGCCTGGGCTATATAAGAAAGGTAGCTGAAGGCAAGCCTGTAAGCAAGCCAGTAACCAGTGTTCCTTTGTGGTCTCTGCTTCCTTCAGTTCCTGTAAGCCAAATGAACTCTTTCCTCCCCATGTTACTTTTGGTCACAGTGTTTATAACAGCAATAGAAACCAAACTAGAATAGCAGGCCACTAGAGGTTCATCACAAATAGCATAGCCACTGCATATGAAAGCAGATGCTGACAAGAGAGAACATGGCTGAGTTCCAACACAACTTTACTTATGGGCACTGAAATGTGAATTTCGTGTCATTTCATAGGTCATTTCATAGGACATTTTAATTCTATTTCACTTTTTTTTTTTTTTGAGACAGGGCTTCACTATGTATTCCAAGCTAGCCTTGAACTCACAGCAGTCCATCCAAGAGATGGGATTATAGACAGAAATAAGCCATTATGTCTGGTTTATATAAACCATTCAAACACACACACTCTCTCTCTTACTTCATAAGGCTGTACAAAAACAAATGGCAAGCTAGATTTGGCCCATAGGGCATCATTTGCCTAAATCTCTGATGTAGGAGAAGCTATGGCTCTCTCCCCAGAAACAGGCCACGGCCCAAAAGTTCACAAGCATGAGGTCCTAGGTTCCATCTCTAAAATCAGGGGAGAGGGAGAGACCTCAAACACTGCTGATTCACCTAGGTGGCTTAACAGGTTGCGTGAAGTCACCACTATGTCTGTCTATTAATAGACACTTTCCTGAAGAAAAATAAAACTATAACATGGACTAAGAGGAACAACATGAAATAATAAGCAGCTGTTAACAACTGTAACATGGGTGCTGGAGAGACGACTCAGTGGTTAAGAGCACTGGCTGCTCTTCTATAGGACCCAGGTTTGGTTCCCAGCATCCACATGGTGGCTAACAACTGTCCAAAACTCCAATTCTGAGAGATCCAATGCCATGGGCATTGCATGAAACAAATGAACGTGAATACATGTAAGCAAAACAGTCATACACATAAAATTAAAATAAAAAAATTTAATCCTGTAACATGGAACACAGAGCACGGTGGCACATGTTTTTAATCCCAGCCTTCAGGAGACAGAGGTGGGTGGATTTCTGTGAGCTAGAGGCGAGCATGGTCTACACAGTGAGTTCCAGGTGGGCTGGGACTAGGGAGACCCTGTCAAAACAAAACAAAAGAAAAAAAACCCTGTAACATAAAGACTGATGTAAATGACAGAATGTAGAAAGTTATACAATTTGTACAAGATATCAGTTATCTGAATAAAATTAAAGTCAAGCTGGGCTCAGAGAAAAAGATGGCTCTAAAATATTAGCAAGGTTCTTTTTCTCTATCACATTGGAAAAAACACCTTTTCCACTGCAATTAAAAAAAAATGCATATCTAGAGGTCTATAAAACTGTGGTTCCCACAAGATGAAAGTTTTGTTTCCAACAGTAAGAAAATCAGATTAACATACAAGAGATTACTTACATGCCTCATGGACTGTGCTCTTCCTAAACTGTTCTTTGAATATTTTGCACTATTAAACACAAACAAAACCCAAAAGAGAAAATTAGAAAATGTTTTAAACAGGGAAAGCACCATAGCTTATGGCTCTTCCCAAGAAACTTTCCAAATTATCTTCCTCATTAATTCCTCACACTGTACACTGAATGGACGTTATGGTAAAAAATCTTTCAGAAAGCAGAATTTGTATTACATGAAGGGCTAATATCTTATGAAATCAACTGTGTATACTAGGGTAGAATATAAAATGTGCATCTTCCTATGCATTTTGTTTGTGTATTTGCATGAGTAGATGTGTACATGAACTGTGATGGAGAACATCATACCATCACAGAAAAAAAAAAAAAAACCCAAAACTGTTTAGAGCACTGGTTCTCAAATTTCAGCTGAGAACAGAACCAGGAGAGACACTTGGCCTGGGGCTGGGTAGGTCAATGGGAGGCACTTGTCTAGCATGCATGAGGCCCTAGCTTCCACCTCTAAAACTGGGGGAGAGGGAGAGACCCCAAACACTGCTGATTCACCTAGGTGGCTTAACAGGTTGCCTGAAGTCACCAGCACTCAATGTCTATTTAGTAACTCTGGGATGGGCCTGACACTTCTCATTTCTAACCAATTCCCAGCTTTAGTTGATTCTCAAACCTAAGTTAGAATTCTCAAACCTATAGAACAAATATTTGATGGCACCTAAGGACTGTGATTCTGAGGTTCAGAAAAGGTAAATGACTTGTCACTGGTCCAAGTAACGTTAAGTAGGTCTAGAAAACAGATGGCATAAAGTGCTTAGCCTGAAGAAGTTTCTTTCTTGCTTTGGGCTGGAGTCCAGGTGTGGTTTCTAAAGATGGAAATGTCTAATATAGCCATTCATCTAATCTTTGTTGTATGCACCTGTGTGTTATAGTGGTGAAGGATGGACAGTTTTCATTAGTTTCAAACTTCAAAATGGCAAATAAGTCTCTGACCTATCAGATAAACTTTTAAATTCCTTTCACTTGTCAGCTGGCTTCTCACACTACTACATTCATTTCTGATCCTCCCCAAAGCTCTGGACTATTCCTCACCCTCTGTTTCTATTGGCTTATACAAACACCATCTGCACAGGCAGACTTCCCATGGAAGAACGCCTGCAGCCACGTCTCGCTAACTGGCAGTTAGAGGAGACCTTTCTACCCTGGTCAGGACCAGGCCTTGGATATGCCCAATCACTCCCAGCGGACCCTAAGACTAGGAATCCTCGAACTCTTAACCTTTCAGAGCGCAGTTTAGCAACCTATCTGCAGATTCATTGCTCTTTATAATAAAAGGTTGCCTGTTGCATCCTGGAACGCCCTTTAGGCATTTAGGACAAGGCACCTTGATCTCGGAGATCTGGTTGTCTTTGGCGTCTGTGCTTTTTACTACGCAAATAATCGGGAACAAAGCGGAAGGACGAGCAGCCAGGAGAGACTCAGTATCTGTTTGTTTCAAGCTATTTTGGGTCTCACTCAATGCAATGCTGATAGCTGAGGTCCTCTCCCACCCAGCGTGACTCCGGGAACTTTCCTCCATATAAGGAGTCCAGACGGTGTCTGTCCCCGTTTGCTAGGCGTGGGACTCGAACCCCTGCGCTTCAAATCATCCCCGAAACAAGTTTAGCAGTACGGGGACGAATGGCTACGAGGGGCCCAGGCTGCGGCTAGAGAGGTCAGAGCCGGCCCTGTCGGAGTGCAGGGAGGCAGCACTTACCCTGAGCGCCCGGAGGACCGCAGCTGCCAGGACGCCGCCATCCAGCCGGCTCTCGACAAGAGCGAGACCCACAAAGCTCGCGCCAAGGCCCGCGCTGCTCAGAGTAACCAATTAGAGCCCAGCAAGGTCTCGATCCCGCCTCTTCCGGGGTGGGCTCAAAGCGCGGCTCCTAGAAGGAGCGGGAGAGAAATCCCGGCCTGGATAACCTGGAGGATCGCGGAGGGGAGTCTGAGGCGCTCCCTCAAGGATTCTAAACTCTGGGCAACGTGGGCCGGGAAAGAGGGAGTGGACCCAAACTCCAGGTGGGCCTGGCAGCGTTGGTTTAGCACCCCTGTTGCGGCTGTGTGAGCCTAGCATGTTATTTGTCCTCTTCCTTTGTAAACTGGAAACGGTACCCTCCTCCTGGAGTACCCCTGGAGTCTTTGATTCTTTCTTTTAAAACATTAATTGTGGTGCAAAAGAATGAAAAACTAACAACTCGGGAGGCAGAGGCAGGTGGATCTCTGTGAGTTCAAGGCCAGCCTGGTCTACATAGTGGGTTCCAGGACAGCTGGGGCTACAGGGAGACCCTGTCTCAAAAAAAAGAATATAATATAATGTAACATAAAAACACCTAGGCATGGTGGTAAGAGCTAAAACTGAAACCCAGAAGAAAACAGCACAAATGCATCAAGACATTGACTTTACAAAAGACCAGGGTTCGAATCCCATCACACACATGGTGGTTGACAACCATCCATAACTCTAATTCCAGGGGAATTATATGCTCTCTTCTGTCCTCTGCAGGCATTGCATGACACAGGTGCACATACATACACACAGACACACAGACATATCACTCATACACATTAAATAAAAATAAAATTATAATAAAAATAGAATGCTGAATTTTATCATACATTTTATCAAAATAAAAATATGCATCATACAAAAGAATATAATATAATGTAACATAAAAACACCTAGGCATGGTGGTGCATGCTAAAACTGAAACCCAGAAGAAAACAGCACAAATGCATCATGACATTGGACTTTACAAAAGACCTGGGTTTGAATCCCATCTGGCAGAGGCAGGCAGATCTCTGAATCTGAGGCCAGCCTGGACTACATAGGAAGCTCCAGGTCAGCCAAGGCTACACGGTGAGACCCTGTCTCCAAAAAAAAAAAAAAAAAACCCCACAAAACCCACCTATATAAACACCACTAGATTAGAACATAAATAATTAGATATAACTCTTGGGCACCCCTCTGAATGGTGCCCTCTTCTTCCCAATCAGAACTTAGAGGAAACATCTCATTCATGCTTCCAAGTGAAGCTAGACAGGGTCAAGCAGGACCTTTGACTTATCTTCTGGTTTCACTTGGAAGCATGAATGAGATGTTTCCTCTGAGTTGACCCTTCTCTTTGTAGACTGGACACTGGTTTAAGTCCATCTCATGGGATCTCTGTGGCCTCCCTGAACAAGAGGACAGGTGACTCAGCACAGTTATAGGACATTTTGAGAAATGTTCCATAGTCCCCTGAAACTTAGTCGACCTTGGAGGGCAAGGGGCAAAAACTGTCCTTTAAGTCCCTCTGACCATATTAGTATAGGCCTCAAACTATGGTTGTTAAACATCCAATAAAGTTAGTTCCACCAGTCTGGTACTTTTAATTATCATGTGCTAT